TCATTAGACCTTGTGCTATAAAGCTCATCATTAAAAGCTTAATTGGACATAAAATTATTCTGCCTTTTTTTGGCTGATACTACACATTTTTAGTTTATTTCTTGTGCAGAAAAGCAGCTTTTTGAAAGAAAGCAGCTTATTAAATTACTGTAGTATTTTATAATTAAAAATTATAATTTTTAACATTAAGTTCCCCTATCTTATATTTGCATATAGACCATAAAATCTGGTATTCAACTTAGGGATTCTTGCATTAAAACGTATGTAAACTGAAACATTTTTATCTGTGTTTTTGGAAGTTATTTAAGTTTTTGTTGAACGATTTGGCCATCTCATAGTCATTACTTTGTCTGCATCTATTTTGCAACTTACGTAGGCCTACTACATGCTTATTTGATACTTATTAACGAAAAGTTTAAAATCTTTAGAGATTTTAATTTTTTTTTTTCTCTACAGACGGTACCTATAATTTAGGACTAGAGACACACTACCTCTGTGGTGGATTTAGGATTTTCGTCAGGGGTGTTACAAAAAATGTTATATGGTTTAAATCAGCACCACTATGGGAGTATTGTCTCGTCATGACACAGGTGTGGTTGATGAACTAATATTTTCAGTCAACCGTGGTCAACAGTAACCACAAACAATGGAAAAACGCAATCAAACAATGCAAACCTCAACCCAATGTATAACAAAAACACAAAATTATGCATAGGCCTATAATTTGATCTCTGGTTATTTTATTACCTATATTGTCGCCCCTTCCCCTAACCACCATTTAAAATGTCCGAAGGAAAAAAAATCATGCTTAAGTAGTTAACAATCATCTCATATCACCTTTTTTGCGACTCAGGGATTTTCAAATTTAACTCAAATACAAAATTAGAAATTAATAAATATGGTATGTATCCTTATATTTAAGACATCGACCGTGTGGTGCCAACCTTTACTCACCCCATTCGTTTCTGGTTAAAGCACTAGCCACAGGGTTAAATTCAAACGTTGGAATTTTTTTAGTTAAAGGTTGAACCGTTGGCTTTGAAAAAATAGTAACATTCTACGGATTTTCTGTATCATGCATGTCTATGAGTACATGGGTGGTGGGGTGGGTGGGGGGAGGGGTGTTCTACGGTTGTTAATAAGACATGAGGAATTGTTCATTGATACGAATCAACTTGGAAATTGTTGAGTTGAGAATCTTGTTGGCTTATTTAAAAGGGATTCATTGATTGTATTTTAAAATCAATACCCCATCAGTTGCAACTGAAATATATTAAACTATGCTACCTCACTTCCTTTTCAAATTACAGTGGGAAATCCCACTGGCCTATACGGTACATATTTGGGAGCTCTTCGTAATTTGACACGTACTGTTATTCCGTTTGAATAGCTTGATTGTGAGTGTGTTCAACCAACCCTGCTTATAACCGAAATGTAAGTTGTGATTTAATCAGTTAATCACAGAATGTTGTTTACTATTACTACAGTTATGAAGTTGTGCAATTAGTAAAGCTGTGCATAGTACACTAGCGGAAAATTATTATACGAAGGTTAGATTTAATGTTTGAAAAGGTCCACGGAAAAAGATCACTAATCAGTGTATTTAAATGCATAGGGGGAAATTATTATACTTAGGTTAGACTTAATACCGCAATTTTTTCAAGCATTAGGCTAAATCTAACCTTCGTGTAATCATTTTCCGCTAGAGTACTATGCTAATTGGAGCAACTCCCTGTTTAGTTTTGCATGCGATAGGAAGGGCCACGGAAAAAGATAACTAATCAGTTTATTTTTTTTGCATCTGTTTAAACTATAACTCCACAGCTGTTTTATGTAACTAACCGTAATTAACATTTTAATTATAATACAGCCGATGTAGGCCTACAGCGAATTTATGCACTACAGCTTTGATTATCACGTGACTGAGTAACGGCATATAAAAACCACCAAGTGCCGGTGGGGGAAAGAACTGTTTGTTTTTAGTTCTGTTTGGTATTAGGAGCCTAGGCGTTGCAAAGCAAACTTAATAAAACACGATGGTCTTATCGACCACAAAATTTGTATATTGGCTACATAACCAGTGATAAGTGATTTCATTACAATAGGATTATAAACAATCCCAACTTAACCAAAAAGATGTAGTAGAATTACTTATTACATTAAAATGCTTTAGGCTTACTGACTGAAATACTGTACGATATATGGCACTGACTCAAGACATACGGTACAAAAGAAAGTCGATACCGTAATGTATTATTAGGAACTAGGCCAGTGGAGTGGAGTAACGGAGAGGCAAGGAAGCCGACTTCCCTGGGCCCTACCCAGGCCATAGAGGGCGTATTTTTTATGTTTTTGTTTTTTAAAGTTTAAACTTTTTAAGCATCTAAAGAACCTCGCTTGGTCGATTTTGGAAATATATACCACTGACATAGAATTTTCTGAATGGACTATTCTATTTTTTTTTACTTCTCTGTAGATGTCTAAGCTATCTGCGACCGTATTCGTGATTCTACTTTTATATACGGCTGCCCAGCCTGTAGCAGGTAATGAATTGTTATGATCTAAAATACTGTAGCATTAGTGTGTATTTATTATGCGGGTAAAAAGGCTGTCTCTTATCCACATCTAGATGTGTATAAGAGCCAGGACATGAGGAATTGTTCATTGATACGAATCAACTTGGAAATTGTTGAGTTGAGAATCTTCCTATCCTTTAAAAACTGAAAATATGATAATTGTTTTCAGGGTTCAATTTTCTGCTACCTGCAGCGGGGGCAGTTTTTGGTGCACTAACGGCCGCAGGTATTCCATCGCTTCTGGGGTTTGGTGCAACCGGTATTGCTGCTGGAAGCGCAGTAGCTGTGATGCAGTCCGCCTCAGCGATAGCTGGCCGAGGAGGAGTAGCAGTGGGCGGCGTGTTTGATATGCCAATGCCGTCAATCGCATTGCTGGCTGCAATATTTGGTTTGGGTGCAGGAGCTGTCGCCAATAATCTCGATGACGACGATAATCTCGATGATGACGACGATGACGAAAGATAAATCGAGCATGCGTATACCATCATTAGACCTTGTGGCCATAAGGCTCATCATTAAAAGTTTAATTGGACATAAACTTATTCTGCCATTTCTAATGGTGGTTTTTCGTTGTTGATATAAACAGGTTGCGGTCTTCTGATTGGCTTAAAGTTAAGATATGTTGCTTTGTTGTCCAATGGTCTGCACATTTTTAGCATTTTTTTTTTTTGCATATAAGCATCTTCTTGTAAGAAAGCAGCTTATTAAATTATGTAGGTGGTGGTTTTTAATTAAAAAAACATATATTTAAACATAAAAATGAACGTTACTCCCTCTCCATTTGCATATAGACCATAAAATAGGCTGGTATTCAACTTAGAATTTTTTGCATCAAAACGTCTGTAAACTGAAATAATTTTATATGTGTTTTTGGAAGTTATTTCAGTTTTTGTTGAACGATTTGGCCATCTCATAATCATCATTTTGTCTGCATCCATCTATTTTGCAACTTACAGTACTACATGCTTATTTGATACTTTACGAAAAGTTTGAAATCTTTAGAGATTTTTTTTTCTCTACAGGCGGTACCTATAATTTAGGACTAGAGACACACTACCTCAGTGGTGGATCTAGGATTTTCGTTAGAGGGTGCTGCAAAATATTTTATATGGTTTGAATAAACATCACCATGGGAGTATTGTCTCCTCATGACACAGGTGTGGTTGATAAACTAAGTTTTTCAGGTCAACAATGATAGACAATAACGAACAAATGGAAAACGCAATCAAACAATGCAAACCCCAACCCAATGTATAAAAAAAGCATAAAATTATGCATATAATTTGATCCCTGGTTACCAGGGCAGAATCCACAGATGTCCGAAGGGCAAGGGATGGGGGGGGGGGGGGGGGGGTTCGGGGAAGATGGCCGATCGAGAGAAAACACTCCCCTAGGGGTCCGGGGGAATGGCCTGGGAAATGTTGTTTTCTAGACGCCCGGGATAACCTCTGAGGCGTTTTGGGCGATTAATAATTTATTTTCCTTTATTTTTTTTAATGTCTTTACTTTCCAAAAGAGGATGGGCGGAGGTGTTTGAGCAGAAACCCGCATCGAGCTTTAGGCTTACGTAGCTGGAACCTCTATTTTATACCTCCATGGTTAAAGCCTACATAATTTGAGGTTTTTATGTGTCTAGATGTGTATAAGAGACAGTATATATATATATATATAATGTGAAGGCCGGGGGTTCGAGAGACCGATGCTCGTCATACTGCTCGTGTCCTTGGGAAGGACATTTTATCTGCATTTGTCTCTCTGACCCAGGAGTATGAATGGGTACCTGGTAGGAGATAATAATTCGGAATGTAATTAGTAGTGCTGATTACACGCATAACTAGCAATACTCCCCCAGGGAGTGGAGGAGATTGCACGTTGCGTGTGATTGATTCTGTATCCAATGACCAGGGAAAAATGCGCCTTGAGCAGTTTTCTTGATATATGCGCTATATAAATAATATCAAAATAAAAGATTTTATTATTGTTGTTGTTATTGTTGTTATTGTTATTTAAATATGCTGGTGTGGAATCTATATTATAAATTTAGTAAGGCCTTAATGTAAATTTAAAAAAAAAAAAAGAAAAAGAAAGAAAAAGAAAAAATGGATCGCCCAAAACGCCTCAGAGGTTATTTTCAGACGTCTACAAAACAAAACAAAAAATTACGGAGGCATGCCTCTGGCCCCCTAGGGTATAGTGTTATCGCGATCGGCCCAGGTTTCGGCCCCCTTTCGGATATCCCTGGATCCATGAGAGTGTTTTTTAGCTGTAAATTGTCAGCAGCTTTTTTCTTCTTTAGGGGAGGGGGAGGGTCATTCATGAGTATAATATCCAGGCTAATATTATTGTTAGCTTTTAAATCGCTCAAAAGATGGAAGAGTGACAAAACAAGACGTTTCCCAAGTTAACGGTTAGCGCTATACGATCTTGCGTTCTCACACAGGTGCTAACGATTAGCGCTAACGGTTAGCTCCCGATCCGGATACTAGGGCTCTCGTGAGAACCAGGCTATCATGCCCATGGTGGGAACCTCACGCACTGTCTGGACAGAGATTTATATTGCAGTCAGTGGGAGCTATTGGGGCTGACTGACTGTTAAAATCCCTGCAATTTCTTGTCCTCGTTGGCTATGTTCTCACACGGCTAACTGTTAGCAGGATCCGGATCCTGCTAACCGTTAGCTGCCGTGCGTCCATACGAGAAAATCCCGATCCGGATATCAAAAATATGATGATCGAATCACTGGCCAATAAGAAACTGGAAATTGTAAACGTGTACGTGTGATTGGTTGAAGAACGCGCTCAACGTGCTAACCGATAGCGCTTGCTAACCGTTAGCGGTATCCGGATACCGCTAACGGTTAGCGCTAACCGATCGTGCGTTCTCACACAGGTGCTAACGGTTAGCGCTAACGTTTAGCTCCCGATCCGGATACTTGTTAACATGTTAGAGCAGGGGTGGATTTAGGGGGTGGATTTCCCCCTTTGGAAAGTCAAAAAAAAAAAATTTAAAAAAAATTGATCGCCCAAAACGCCTTATGATTTATGTGGCTTATTTCCGTAAATAGACTATTTTATGTAGGCAGGCCCGTAACCAGCTTTGGTAATGGGGGTGGGGGGGGGGGAATATTTTTTCCATCTAAGTGGAACTTTTGGGGTCCAGGGGTTCTCTCGAAAAATGTTGAAAACCATGACCGCCATCTTTAATTCAAAATGCTCTTCTGTGTTTGAGCTGCTTTCAAAGGAATTACAATTTTCGTGAATTCAAACTGAATCGATTTGATATGTGCAAGTATAGAAGAAAGCCGTAGGCTATACCATGCAATTGTGTTAGTAGATCAAATGTAGTAAAGATACGATCATATCATATACATCATCATCATCATCATCATCATCATCATCATCATCATCATCGTCATCTTCCTTTACTGTGCAGAACGTCTGTTGAGTATAGTCGTACATAAACTACAGTGCTTGTCATATAGGCAAAAGGCCAAAGCACACATAGCCTACTATTGAACTAATGTTGTCTAAATATCATTTATACGGAAGCGTATTGCTGCCAACTATTATTTATAAAACATTGTTATTAGCTGACACATTACATGATCCCCACGGATCGGGGGATCGGGCCTGGTGGTAGGTGCGGTTCATTTAATTAAATATTTCCTGGTGTTAATTTTCCTTTATATTTTCACTTTATATTTTCTTTAGTAAGTAAAGGAACCCTTAACATGTTAGAGTACCTTTCCCTCGGAGGTAGCGCACTCTGAACGTTTAATGACGGTTTTGAGAGGATAAAGTGAAAATTGCAATAGACGCATCATAAATGATATTAGTAAGATTAATAATAATTATAATAATAACTCAATAGTGGCGGATCCAGAAATTCGAAAGAGAGGTGACCCAGAGAGGGACTTTCACAGACTGAGGGCCATCCACCTCAGACCCACCATGGTTGAGTCTGAGGTAAGAAAGTTTATGATTAGGGCGCACTCCATGGGCGGAAATAACACTCTCAGACTTAAATTTGAATAAAATTTCTTCTTTTAAATTAAAACAATTTAGGTGAAAGCATTCAATCCGCCACTGCTCAAAATATTCTTTATCCAAAATAGTCATAATCACGAATAATTGGCGTAAAAAACCAGATCACATCCTGAACACAAATTTGTGCACCCTCAGCAGTCACTATGACATCGGGTCAGGTACAGGTGCCGACTCGATGGAGTTTAAATGTCATAACCAAGGAAGGGCGCATGTTGTGAAGGGTGAGGGTGAAGAGACATTTCGTGAGTCCACACCCACATCAGACCCACCATGGTTGTGGCTGAGGTGCAAAAATTTGAGGAAATGGTCCTCTAGACGCAGGGTTCCCGGAACGCCACCCTCAGCGGCGAGTGCGAAGCACAACTCAGGGTCAAAAATGGAACGTGAAATTTGGATATGGTTTTGTAGTCAGATTTGCGAGAAAAACCTCAGCTACCCGTATTTCTCGACTGAGACGTCAGTAGGAGCTGTAATTTGTATGGCAAGGAGATTGAGCAACCCTTCATTCATATTAAGGGAATTTACGCCCAGAACGGTTATAATAGAAAATATTCATTTTTTTGGTGACGTCACACTCACATTAGTTAGCATGCATACGTCATAATCTAGATACGTCACCTTTTCCTGGTAAGGCAAACTTTCCCGGCGTGCTTTTTTCATGGATAAACAAACACCACTGCTTTGCACATGGATGCCTTGCCCAAGCCAGGGCTACAAGAGCCGCATTGTTAGCATTGTATAATACTTAAATAAAGGTACCTCTGCAAATGAATTATTCTTAGTTATTTCTTTTTTTCTTATTTTAATTTATTTCTTCCGAAAGTGTACTTTCTATCAGATATAATTCCACTGTCTTAGTTAGGCCTAGGCCTAGTCTTATGCCTCATCGTCCCCCGTTACACAGTACATCAGGAGCCCCTCCCCCATACAGTACAGACGTTTGCTAAGTAACAACGTGATTGCACCTTCCTTCCCAGGTGTTCATGTAACATTGACATAATTGTTAGCTAACCAGTTGTGTGTATTTCTTTGTGAAAATGAGTACCGCGGCGTACCCATTTTCACAAAGCATTTGCATCCCCTCTTGGAAAGAGGGATTCGAAATATTTGTCTCCATATCTTCGCTAATTAAATTCATCACTAAATTTAGCTTACACTTATGAATTTAGGGAGCACTTAAAAT